GCTGACCTCCATGAGATAATGTTTGAACCAAGAAACAATAGGTAAGCCGTGGTGGAGCGACCACCACATTCAATTCCTCCCCAGTCAGAATCAGAGAAGGCTTTGAGTGTCAGAGAGGAACCCCGGTTGAGAAATAGGCCATGATGAATAGTACCTTTTAAGTATCGGAGAACTTTTTTTAATGATTGCCAATGAAGCTCTGAGGGAGCGTGCATGAACTGTGACAGTTTATTCACAGCAAATGAGATGTCTGGTCTCGTAAAGGCCAGGTATTGAAGAGAACCAACTAACTTGCGGTAGGGAGTTGGATCAACACGTGCAGCTTGAGAGAAACTGAGGAGTTCAAGGGAGTGGTCACATCCTTTGCTCCATCCATGTGAAAGTGTTCCAAGAGATCTTTAATGTGTCTATGTTGGGACAGAAATAAGCCGTGAGATGTGGGTATGACCTCAACTCCAAGAAAGTGGTAAAGAGAACCAAGGTCTTTGATGGAGAAACGTTGGGCTAAGGTTGCAACAAAGGTATCAAGAAAGGCGTTATTGTTGCCCGTAAGGACAAAGTCATCTACATAGACCAGAAGGTAGCTCAAGAGACCGTCATGGTTGTAGATAAAAATAGATGGATCAGCTCTAGACTTGTGAAAGCCTACAGAGAGAAGGAAATTGGTGAGTTCAGTGTACCAAGCTCGTGGTGCTTGTTTCAGGCCATATATTGATTTACGTAATTTACAAATGTGAGATGGGAATTGAGGATGGATGAATCCTGGTGGTTGGGTCATAAACACCTCTTCATGAAGAGTACCATGGAGGAAGGCATTGTTGACATCAAGTTGTCGGAGCGGCCAGTTGTGAGAGAGGGCTATAGAGAGGACTGTACGAATGGTGACTGGTTTCGTGACTGGACTAAAGGTGTCAAAATAGTCCTTGCCATATTGTTGAAGGAACCCTTTGGCTACGAGTCGGGCTTTGTATTTGGCAATGGAGCCATCTGGATGTCTTTTAATGCGAAAGATCCATTTACAACCTATTGGGGAATGAGATGATTTAGGAACCAGTTCCCAGGTGCCATTTTGCATTAGAGCATTAAATTATTGATCCATGGCTTGACGCCACTGCGGATCTTTGAGGGCTTGGGTATGAGTTGTAGGTTCAATATAGGGTGGAATTGGATGAAGTGTTGAGGTATTAACAAAGGAAGGGTTATAGTATTTGGAGTTGAGTTTTCTTGGTCGGGTGTCACGAGGCTGTTGTGGAGATGGAGGGGGAGGAGCAACAGGTGAGGTGGTTGTAGAGGAGGAAGAGGTGGGTGATGAAGTTGAGGTGGGGGAGGATGGTTGATCATCAGATAGAGGTGGTGGTGAGTCATTTATTTCGATTACTGGTGAAGGTGCAGCGGGTGGAGATGAATCCGGAGAGATGGTTGTATTGATTAGTGGTGGTGGTGTTTCTATAGGAGAGGAGATAGGAGAGGTGAGAAAGATGTCTGGTGTAGGAAGTGATTGATGGAGGGGTTGCTTATGAGATGGAAACTGATCAGAGATAAACTCGACACGGCGGGAGTGGTATAATCATTTTGATTGAAGATCATAGCATTTGAATGCTGACTTGGTGGAGGAATATCCTATGAATAGACATGGGGTTGATCTGGGTTGAAGCTTAGATGTTGTGTAGGGACGAAGCCACGGGTAACATAGGCAACCAAAAGGCTGTAGTTTGGAGTAGTTTGGTGTTTGATTGAAGAGACGCTCATATGGAGATTTGTTTTGGAGAATAGGAGTAGGAAGTCTTTTATAAGGTACACGGCTGTTTGGAAGGCATGTGACCAGAAGGATAATGGCAAGTTGGCATGGTGTAGGAGCGCAAGGCCCGTTTCAACTATATGTCGGTGGCGGCGCTCGGCTATACCATTTTGTTCTGGTGTATGTGGTGGAGCGGTGTAATGAGAGATTCCATGAGATTGAAGGAATGGGAGGAGACCTTGGTGTTCTCCACCATTATCACTGAATAAGGAGATAATAGGATAATAGAAGTATTTTTCTACAAGTAGTTTAAACTGAGGAAAGAGTTTTGCAACATCATTTTTATGATTCATAGGATACATCCAGACATATTTGGTGAAGTAATCAACAAAAATGACATAATAGGTGTATTTGTCTATCGATTGTGGAACTGGTCCCCAGACATCTGAATAAATTAGTTGTAGTGGTTTGGTTGCAACAAAAGAATTTGGACCAAAAGGTAATTTATGACTTTTATTGATTGAGCACGAAGGGCAGTGAACATCAGAAGCAATATTTGGATTAAAACCTAGCCTAGAGATAAGAGTCTTGAAGACTTGACGAGATGGATGACCAAGTTTGTGATGGAGTGTGAGTGGTGAGTTCTTGAGAGTAGCATGGATGTGGAGCTTGGGATGTAACCGTGTCTGGTAAACTCCATTAGTTTTCTCTCCTCGCATTAGACGCGCCCCCGTGCATAGATCCTTCACAAAGAAATGAGATGGAAAGAATTCCACCGAAACCATGTTAGTATCACATAATTCTGAGACAGATACTAGATTTCTGTGTAATTTAGGAACTTGTAACACATTAGATAACAATAATTTTCTGTGAGGTGTAGCGATGTATATGTTGCCAGTGTGTGTTATAGGTAAACCTGAACCATCTCCAAGGACTATCTCATCTGGACCTCCATACTCCGATACGCTGTGAAGGGTATTTTTGTCAGAGGTTACATGATTAGATGCACCAGTATCAAAAAGCCAGGAGGGAGATACTGGGGCCGACGTGGTAACATTAGCAACTGGAGTTGTTGATTTGGTAAGGTCAGTGATGACATTGTTCTCCCTTAGAAATCGAGCAAGTTTTCGACAGTCCTTAGTAAGGTGCCCTGGAATGTTACAATACTGACAGAAGTGATTGTTTTTGTTGGTACGATGGCCATAAGAGTTATTATTTGGCCATTGAGATTGGGGTGTTCCTTTTGACATGTGAGAGGGAAAAGGTCGGGTGTTGTTCCTGGAGAAAGAGTTGTTGTATGTGCGATTATTGGATCCCTGTTGGCGGGAAGTGTAATTGGCAGTGACTGGAGTTGAGTCAAGGGTTGAGGGTATATCCTTGAGGGCTCTTTCATAATCTGTGAGTTTGTCAAAGAGCTCGGAGTAGGACAGGGGGTTGTCTCGTACCTGGATAGCAGTAGCAATGATACTATATTCTTCACCAAGTTGTGAAAGGATGTGAGACATGATGTCCTCTTCAGAGACAGGGCTTTGGGCAAGTGCTAGATCATCAGCAATGGCTCGCATTTCTTGAAGGAATTCTGAGATGGATCGAGTTCCTTTAGGGTTCTTGGCAAGTTTGGACTTTAACGAGATAATTCTGGACCTTGAGGATGAGGCAAAGCTTGACTGTAGCCGAGTCCATGCTTCTCGAGCTGTAGCTGCAGATGAGATGAGAGGTTGTATTGAGTCTGAACAGCTCCCCAATATAGCGTTGAATATCATTTGATCTCTGCGATGCCATGGAAGGTAATCAGGATTTGTTATCCTTTTTCCTTCCTTGTTAGTGATTGTTGTTGAAGGTTGAACAGAGGGGCCGATGATGTGGTTATCAAGTTCAAGACTGATCAAAGTGGATTCGACTTGTTTTCTCCATACTGGGTAATTATTGGGTGTGAGTTTGATGGTTAGATGAGTAGCAGCGGTAATGTGAATGGTGTTTTTGGTGGCCATCGATGAACCCTAATTGATGGTTGAGGGTTTTATTTGAGAAGATAGGAAGAGGATCAAATCTCGTGAGAGCAGGTTAGCTCTGATACCATATAAGCAGAGATATAAGAGTGAATTGGTTGTTTATTATTATGCACATACAGGGAGTGGCTTAAATAGCCAAAGAATACAAGTAACAGGGGATAAACAAGGAAGGTTTACAGGGAAAATACAGTTGTAGGTGGCTAAGTAATTACAGGGAAATATTCTAATTATATAAAAGATAATATACATATCTTATTCCTTAATAAATAATACAACCGGTTTACACCTTCATAATTGAAAGAATGACGTTTTTATATTGTTTTTTTTTTGTAGTTTAAACACTTAGGACATCTACAATACAATGAACTTCATAGAGTTCAATGGATTGCCACATCATATTTCTACAATCCATACAACTCTATTATATTTTCCCACAATACATTGAACTCGACAAAATTTAATAAAATGCTACAAAATGTAATTTATAGTAAATAATTAAGAATTAAAAACCTTTTTTTTCCCATTGAAGAGTTCAATGATCATTGAATTCCAAATCCATTGAATGCCAAAATGACATCTCACAATGGTAGATTTTCATCCATTGAATGACACATAGAATTGTCAGTTCATTCAACTCTTCTATTAAACTCACCATTGTTGATGCTCTTACACTACATAAAAAAAATGACAGACATATTTAAACAAAAACAAACAATTTGTTAGGCTATGATTACATTATCCCTTTACAACAAGTTTAATTTTTGGACTTTAAGTCTTTATAGTTTTTAACCGTTGCATACGATTTGTGCATGGATTGTTATTGTGTGTTAAAGTATAGAACTCGTGACTAAAAGCGTGTTCGATAACAAATTTTTTAGAGCTTTTTAGAAGCTTATTGTTTTTATTTTCTTAAAAAAATACTTGACTTAAAGGAAAAGCTTCGTTTGACAAAATCAACTTTTAGCTGATTTTAAACAAAACGATCATAATTTGAAAACCACTTCTAGTACTTTTGTGAGCTTTTAGGTTTTAATTGTCATAATTTTTCCAATTTAAAAATCTCTAAACATTTCTCACAATAAAAATTGGTTTAAGCTACCATGCACCATCTAATAACTAGTCTTGCCATAACCACCCTAAACCTTTTCTATAAATTTTAAATATACTAATTTTTTTATATATTTTATTACAGCTGTATGCCGCAATGAAAGATCAAGCATGACTGTCATAATAATAATTCACAATAGTGTATTTAAATACATTTGGACTATATTAATGTTATTTTGTATTTTAACAAGTATAATGGTTGCTTGGCACCAAAAATACAAATATACTAGTTAGACTATTTTTAAATTAAAAAATGTACTGAACTACAAAAAAAATGAAAATAAGAAAAAGTAAACATTATGTCAATCTATTATATTTATATTTGTGGCAACTCTTCTCCTCTTGTGAACACGTTGTACCAAAAGTCCATGTCATCGTGCAAATTTGACTCGAAACCACATCTACTTTGAAGTTGACCAATGTTTTCATGGACCGCCGGAAACTCGTCGGAGTTACCTGCTGAAAAAATCTCCGACCAAAACTCTTCATCCATATCCGGTAAGCTCTGATCCAATAGCATGTCCTCCATGCACGAGTTATCATTTGTACTTGTAGTCACCGAAGAAATTTCAGTACTTGAAGGCTGAGGCGAATCGATTTGATTATAACTCGTTTGACTGCTCGAATTCGTCTCTAATGGCGAGGATCGAGCACCATCTTCTTCATCTTCTTTAGATATTTCCACTTCCTGTTGAAACTTAGAACTGGTTACAGTAGGGTTAGTGTTAGGGTTCAATCTCTTCTTTAAGTACGTGTGCCAGACATTCTTAATCTCGTTATCTGTGCGACCCGGTAATCTTGCAGCAATCGCTGACCATCTGCAATTCATATCAGATCACGAGATCAGTAAAAAGAAGATACTCAGAACATATAGAACGATCGATGGAGTCATAAACATGCACACATACCTATTTCCCATAGCCGTATGTAACTGTATGATGGTTTCTTCTTCTTCTCTACTAAAGTTACCCCTTTTAATATCGGGTCGTAAATAATTAGTCCATCTTAGCCTGCAACTTTTCCCGCACCTCAATAAACCTAACCAGATTTACACGAAAAAAGGTTAGTTCTTGTAATATATATCAAATTAATTACTTCAGTGACTGCGAATTGAACTCATTTAGGTGTTGGTAAATTAATATATTACCGGCGAGCTTGGGAAGAGCGCGCCAATTTGGGTGGCCATGGAGGTTAATATAGTCGATGAGGATTCGATCTTCTTGGTGAGTCCAAGGGCCTTTCTTCAAACCCATCTTTTCGCAGCAGGGAGCTCTAACCATAGTTGTAAGATCAAATTGGTATTGATTGATCGAATTCCTTGACGCTTGAGAAACGGCTATATGAAACAAGTAAAGAATGGAGACTTTAAATAGGAAATTGTTGATGGCTGAAGCATAACGGACAAAGACGAAACAAACAAAGTGGTGTGAGGGTCCAGGCGCAGCCAAGAACTATAAGCCAGCCAACTTGACTACGACTTGCTTTCTGTATGTGCGTGTGATATATATATATATATATATATATATATATATATATATATATATATATATATATACACACACGTTTTTTTTGTAATTTAGTTGATGGTGTGAACGAAGGCACGTGAGGAGAATGACGATGGTTCGAGGTGATGAGTATAAACCGAATTTGACAGCAGCAGAGTTGACCACTTTTTTATTCAAGATACATGCAAGTTGTCACTTTCTCTTGTCTCTCACTCTAATTTTTCTCATTTTATATTATACTGATTACCAGTAGTTTGGATTCTAGTAAAAATATATGTATATATATAAAGAAAGTTTACTTATCTTAATTTTAATGATTATGTTAATTACGAGTTGAACAACAGGGTACGTTCAATAAGGGTTTTATTAAATGTTTGTGAATTTGTGGTTGACTACTTATAGTATTAGTGGGAAAAGCGTGTAAATTGTAAAAGATTATAAATCTAAAATTTAATTTTAGTTAAAAAGTTATCGGGTCAAATAGTTTAGGTATCCTCCACAGTGCAATATATGTTAAGGCTGTGGAGAGTGGTCACCACCAATCCACTAGACATTGGAAATGGTTACCACTCCACATCATTTATATTTTTATTTTTTTAATTTTAAAACATTAGATTAAATAAAAAAAAACATTATTATAAACTTAAGTAATCATTTTACTAATAAAAAATCAAATAAAAAACAATTTTAAAATTCAATAAATATTTAAAGCTATATTATAAATTGAAAAAAGATAATTGAAAAGATATGATATGTAATTTTCGAAAATCATTATTTAAGCATAAAAATTTTGATTTAGAGTGGAAGGTGTAATCAGCCAAGACTTGAGGGACCAAATCTATCAAGTCTTTCATTTTGCTGTCTTCTTCCTCCCTACGCATCGTCCAGCTCTTTTCTCCATTTTTACTCTGCAACTCCAGATTTAAAGCATCTGATAAAGAAGAACAGTCAAAGAGAGCATTAACCAATCAGCTTCTTCGTCTTCTCTCGTGGCCGGAGTCACGCCACAACACATCCACTCTCCATTGGGGTGGTGTTCACGCGTGGGTAGAGGTGCCACATCAGCCTTCACGCGTAGTTTTCTCTCCCATACCGGATAGCCTAATACTTAATAGTAGCGTATGAATTTTTATTATACGATTATATATATCACACAATTCTCACATTAATATTCATCTGACACATGTAGGGCTGTTCACTATTCGGATAAAACGGAATTATCCAATTGGACAATTTGGATTAGACTATTTGGTTCGGATATTCGGATTTTTGGATGAGTTTTCAACAAAACCGAATTATTATTTTGGATTGGTTTTATTTTATAAAATCAGAACCGAATAGTCCAAAAAAACCGAATAAACATTCGTAATTTATCTATTTATAATATATATCTGTAGTTATTTATTAATTTTGTAATTTATTTTTTCAAATAGGTTCAAAACGTTTCACACGATAAAAAAAATCATGAATATGCATTTTTTCTCAAAAGTTTTATGTCTATAAAATATTTAACTATAATATATCTTCTTATTAGTTGTTTATAAATATCAAATCACAACTAAATAATTTGTTTTTGCTTCTTGTGTAAAGTTGGTTAATATTATAATTATATTTTGTTTTAAAATGTTTCGGTTTTTGTAAATCGGATTATAAAAACTGATCCAACAGAATTGTAATTGGTTCGGATCGGATCAGATTTGAATTTAGTTTGGACTATTCGGACCCATGTTTTGAAAACCGAAATCAATTTGGATTCACTTGATTAGATCGGATCAAACCGATCCATCCAACGAACACCCCTAGACACATGGTTCTAAACGGCGTCAAGGCGTGTCATGACGCAAGACGTAGAGTGACAATATCAAAAACATCCAAGTGAGGTTTGTTAAGCGTAATGTGCAAATAATGTTTTAAGGCACGCCTTATCGCATTATGATGCGGTTTTTTTTTTTCATGAAACAGTTGGATTTATGTTAAGTTTTTCATATTAAGTGTTTATATAACACTTCTAAATACTTAGTATATTTGATATACTTATATAATTAACTGATTTATCATATTTTAATATACATATAAAATTGTTATCTCTTAAAAACGGTCATGATTTGAAGTACGACCTTGTCAAGTTACATAATTTAGAACCTTAATTTGAGACATCGAGTTGTTAACTAAATATAACCATTAAATGTATAATCCATCATTCTATTGTAATTAACAATTTATCGCACGTAATTAATGAAAATGTGATCAGTACATCATTCTATTGTAATTAACAATTTATCGCACGTAATTAATGAAAATGTGATCAGTAGAAAAATTAAAAGAATCATAAACAATACCATATTACGTACAGTACGTTCAAATGTGGTTAACTGATCTAGATTGGATGAAATTGACATGCAAGTTGGTTGACTTTTAGATGTCATGCTAAGGCCTCTTTCAAAATCCATATACCGGCACCCATTCGCCGAAAATGGTTTTCACATACAATAATGGATCCAACCAATTGCGCCTTCCACGAACCACCCCAATAGTTCCCAGTCGTATTTCTCTTTATACTTTTATAAATAAAAATATAAGCAAATTAAAAAGGTAAGAATATTTTACCTTATCTACTAGAATGACCATAATAAGTGACTTTGTCTATCATTAAAAAAACACATTTTTCCGCAATTTAATAAAAAAAAAAAGCCAAAAACATCGCAAAAGTTCCCTAGTTCATTTGTGTACGCGCGCATATATATATATATATATATATATATATATATATATATATATATATATATATATATAGAGAGGTAAGTTCAATTGAGAAAATAAAAAACGTTGAGAATGAGGGAATCGTTCTCAGCCACTCATTTATTTTTGCCGCAAAAGCCTTTGTTGTACCAGCGGAAATGGATAAGGAATACACATTTGTTTCCAACAAAACATGTTTCCTTAAACTATGCTAATCATTACCTTAATATATACAAAAACATAGTTTTTTTTGTTTTTTTAATTTTTAAGAAGCTATTTATATCGAAAAATGATTTTAAATATACCAAAATTCATGATTTTTTATTCTCTACAAATAGACATCCATATTGATATACTTTTAAGATAAAATAATTTTTTTTTATATATTTTCAGCTATCGTTATTCATAAGTGAATAAAAATGCATCAGATTTTTGCTACAGTACATTCGTTATTCACTTATGAATAAAAATATATAATTAATTTTTTTTACAGTTTAAGTATCATCTATACTACTTATTCATATATGAATAACAAATTAACTGTAACAAAAATCTGATAAATGTTTTATTCATATATGAATATAAAATATGACGACAACTAATACACGTTTTATTCATATATAAATATAGTATATGATGAAAGATGATGTAAAAAATATATTTTAAGTAAGAAAACTTTATTGCGTGTCATATTCATATATTAACGATACTTAAACTATAAAAAAAGTTACGCATACGTTTTATTCATAAGTGAATAACGAATATACTATAATAAAAATCTGATAGATTTTTTTATTCACTTATGAATAACGAGAGCTGAAACTCTAAAAAAAAAATTTATTTTATCTTAAAATTATATCAATATGGATGTCTATTTATAGAGAATAAAAAATTATGAATTTTGATATATTTAAAATAATTTTTCGATAATAATGGCTTTCTAAAAATAAAAAAAAAACGAAAAAAAAATATGTTTTTGCGTATATTAAGGTAATGATTAGCATAGTTTAAGGAAACATGTTTGGTTGGAAAACACATGTTTATCCGTTATCCATTTCCGACGGTACGCCTAAGTGTTTTGCGGCAAAATAAATGTGTGGCTGAGAATGATTCCCCATGCAAATATATGTTTTCTCAACCTTTTTTTTTCTCAATTGATCCCTCCTATATATATATATATATATATATATATATATATATATATATATATATATCGGTAACTCTTCGCGTGATATTTATGTCATTCGTAGTATTAACATCTCCCATGCAACATTAATAATGTCATCGTAACGAAAGCTCGCTTTTAACTCGTTGATTGCATTTCGTATTTGCATATTACTATCTTCCACAATTCACAACCATTACTAATTTCGAACTAACCTCTAACAATTAGGAAACTACTTCAACGTGTCCAATAAACCTTATTCCCTTATCGGTGAGTCGTCTAGTAGACATGTATATCATCTTTTTCCCTACTTCAAACATGATCATGAGAGGGAAATGAGAATGTGTTAGAAAATTTTAGTTCGTTATAAGAACACAAAGTCATACAAAATATGTTTGAGGCATATATTTTTATGATATCACATAGACTGTTAAATAAGCTTCTACCTTAAACCACAACCAAACAAGGAACAAGAATAAGATAGAATTCATCATTCTAGGGCTATGCAATCCTAGACATATACAACTTTGAAAGCATACACATAGCAAGTAATCAATCCAACATAAATTTCCAAATATAACTATAGCATGGCTAGTACATTGGAAACACTTACTTGAGCTCGGCCGATTACGCACATTGCACTCTTCCCTTTTACTTGCAAAAACCGTTTTCAAGAAATTTTTTAATTTTTTGGTTTCTTTTTAAAAAAGGTTTTACCATTTCCTCAGTTTGAGTCCTGACACACCCAAGAGTGTGCCCGAATCCCTCAAACCAAGGCTCTGATACCAACTTGTAACAACCCAAAAACTTAGGTAATTTTTTTTCATTTGTTCACTAGAAATAATATCCATATTTGTTTCCCACAAATTCCATTACATAATACATTGTTCAGAAGATCAGAGTATCCAAAACAACTAGTACA